TTTCTTGCAACTGATCTGGACTTCTGTCAGTGCGGATCCGCCACCCGCTCGGCTACGCGTGTATTCAGTTGGTCCTGCTTTCAGCTCAAGCAGGTTAACACCTGTTGTGACCCCGGTGCGGCCGGTGCGGTGGTGTGCTCTTTTTTCGGGTCGGCCTCACCTCTAGTTCGACGGCCGTACGACCAAGGGCGTAGCGTGCAGGCAGAAGGTTGCCCGTTTCCCTGTCAGAACTGCAGACTTCGTCGCAGAATCCCTTCCCAATGCCGTTGATGAGCTGTCACGGTCCAGAATGTATGAGATATGCGATCTTCGGGCATGACGTAGTGTTACTCAAGGTACGTCTGTGCTGTTTGTGTGTGACTGCAGGTCTCTTTCGGACTCGGTTGCAAGCCTTCTTGCCACCGTCAGCTTTTGCAGAGTGAAGGAAATGAATATTGCAATGGCCATGGTACTCGCCCATCGGCATAGTAACATCTTTAGTGTGTCCTGTGCTGGACGAAGGGATAGGGGCTGCACATCCACTGAAATGGTGCTCAAGCTCCCAAGCCCGCCCGCCCTCGCTTGAGGGGTTTCAAAATCATTATCCGACGTCTGGACGTCTGTGTTGGACTGCATGTCTTCGTCAGAATCGTTTGCAAATCTTCCTTCCACGGTCAGTGTTTGCAGAGTGAAGGAAATGAATGTTGCAATGGCCATGGTACCCGCCCATCGGACTCATCATGACCATCACCATCACCATCACCATCATCATCAGCATCATCATCATCACCCTCATCATCATCACCAGCATACTCATCATCAGCATCATCACCATCGTCGTCGTCGCCGTCATCTCTATCTCGCGCTCTCCCTCTCTCCTTGCAGATTCTCCATGCGCTGGTTGCGCTCAAGGGGTTATCGCAATCCTTGTCCAGGAATTGGACGGGTCTGTCGAGGTTTCGTCACGTTGCCGCCCGTGGCGGCCTCGTGGCCGCCTCGTACGCTGGGTGGGTCCGGCCAGGTTTCGCAACGTTGCCGTCTGCGGCCACCTCCTGGCCGCCTCCAGCTCGCACCGCGTATGCTGCACCACACAGCTTACTGTACACCACATAGCTTGCACCACATAGCTTGCACAGCCACCTTGCAGCAGCTTGCTGTAGTGCCCTCGCTGGCAAACTGGCCCCCCCCCCCAGATACATCGCATGATGACCTACGTGCCCTGGCGCTGAATGCCGCCCGATGCGCACCTCGCGCGAATCAATATGGGACCCATGGCACCATGGCCCGTTCGTCTCAAAAGGCACATCTGTTCCTCGGGCTTCTGCGCATACTTCTCTATCGACACCGGCTGGGTAGGACATCGGGCGCGGTTGAGACGCGTGCAAGAAGTGGCGCAGCACCCACCGCCTTCTGACTTGATATGGCAAGCTCGAGGTTATCAACGTGCTGGCGCAGCGCAAGGTAGATCGTATCGGGGTCGCGCGGACTCGGCGCCACCAGACTCCCATCCATATGCCCTCAGCGGCAAAAACACCGTGCCACCGTGCACCGCAAGGCTGAACGGCTCTCGCCCACGCCGCCACCATGATCGCCCATCCGTATCGTCCCGCCGCACCCAGGTCGCAACAGCACTGTTCCGAGCTCCCACGGCATCGAGATGGTCGGCTGCCTGGGAGGGAACAGGGGTCTCAATGCCATGCCGCCGGTGGGAGCCCGCCAGCGTGCTTTTTTCCCTCGCTTTTGTCCGAAGGTCGAGAGCTGCTGGAAACTCACGCTCCGATGGGCTCCCCGCGGCGGCGGCGGGCCACCGATATTGCTTCGGCTCCCCCTATCTGCTCTCACCTCGGGACTCCGTTGTGGTGACACTTGGCGACGCGGTGCGATTCGACGAAGCGCAGGTGTGGCATAGACCTGCTGCCGACAGAAGGATCTGCGATCCTGCCACGCTCTCCACGCAAGGTTCGTGGAAGTCAGCATCGGGTCTCTCTGCACCGTGCCAGGCTCCCAGCCACACGCACGCACGGGGGGCCACGACCTGCCGCTCCGAGCACGGAGCACGTCCACCCAGCACTACCGGCACCTCCAAGAGGACCCAAGATGCCACCGAAACGTCCCCGGACGGCACCCGAGGCGGCCCCACCAAGACCGCCCAAGACCACCCCGAGGCGGCCCCAAGACCCCCCCAGACGACCCCCAGGCCGGCCGAAGTGGACCCACGGGCCGCCGCCGGGCCTTGGGGACGCCCAGCGGGCCCCGGGGCGGCCATCCTGGCAAGCTCGCGAGCGCCTCGAGAGGAGCCCAGCTCGGGGGCAGCCGAGAGGGGGGTGATGACCAGGGGGGTGGGGATACAATGGCGGGGGCCACGATATTTTCCCAGAGGTCATGGCGCCTCTTCTTATTCCAATGCGTCCCCGCCCCCCCCCTCCTGGCCACGCACGCGCCGCCGCCCGTGATCTGCGCCCCCCCATCTTGGACGCCCCCCCCCCCTGGCCGCCCCCGGCCAGCATGCTCCAAGGGAAGACAGGCCCACGGCAGGACATGCCAGCTGAAACGGTCTCACGAGACCTTCAGAGGGCTTCCTTGCCGCCCCGACATGGCCTCCAGTACTTACCCACACGACCCCCCCGACAACACCAAACTGCTCCAAGATTCCCTGGGGGATTACAATGTTGCCAAACATGCCCAAATAACTGCGGTAGAAAGTCCAGGAGCCCAATAGGGTGTCATGAAATAGACGAACCAACTACCTTGCGCATTCTGAAGATGCAGCGCTTTCCGTCCCCGTGTTGGCCAAATCACGTTGCCTTCATGCGCTATCGCTCTGGAGGGCGATGAGGAGCAGGAGTTCCAAAAGGAAGAGGATGAGCGAGATAACTGGGGTAGGGGTAAGGGGGTAGGTTGAGGAACAGTGAGTGAGTGAGTGAGCAAGACCAGTCGCGGTGCGAGTCGGGATGAAGAGTTTCGAATGTTGACGAGCGAACTTCTCGGCCTTGCCAAGGATCTTCTGGCCATCGATCGGAATTGATAAGAAGATCGTGGGAGAGGGCGAGCGAGGGAGGGTGGGTGGGAGGGAGGAGACTGAGTCGGGAAAAAAGGCGATAAGGAGGAGGAGAAGGAGGAGTCTGCAAGACTCTCAACAGTTTTGTAGGTATCTGATCCACTGAGTTCAAAGTGGGGTTGTTGCTTGGTGCGGTTGTTGCGTTCTCCACTCCCCCAATCTGTCGTCGTCACTTGTCATTTCCATCATCCTCGCCCTCATCCCCTCTGCCCTCACCCATTAGCATCGTTCCACACCCACACCTACTCTATCGCCATCATCACATTCACCCTCATTACCAGCCGCACTATCACAATATTCGCTCTTCATCTGTATTCCATCCCCCGCTGTCATCAATTTGTGCCTTTCTTACGCTACAGTGGGGGGCCCATGCCAAGAAACACCCTGCATGCCTCCAGGTGCCCTGGGTTTCTTAGATCTCTTGGTGCCCTGGGGTTTTCTTGCTTTGAGTTTTGCTATGAAAAGCGTGACGTTCCCACACCCAAAGTCCGAGCCTCACGCTGTGCATCCCGCGCTGTCTCTGACGGTCCCAGGGCCCGTGGAGGGCTCCCAGGGGCCCGAAGACAGAGACGACATTCCAGGACCCCAGGGGTGGTTATAGGACTGGCCGAATGGGCCATGGGGCTCCTGTGCGCTGCTCGCTTTGCACGGCCATCAGGGGGAGAAGACCTCCAGGATCCCAGGACCCGCTCCCTTCATGCCGGGAGATTTGGTTTTCCCGCACCTTCGCGGGAGGAGCAGGAGGAGGAGGAGGAGGAGGAGAAGGAGGAGGAGGTTCATTGCCCATAAAGGGAAAGAGTTAAGGGAGGGAGAAGGAAAACGTGTTGTGGGTGCCCATCTGAGGAGACCTTGTTGTTCCCCGCCTGATGTTCCATCCCCCAGGCAGGGCCCGCCGACTTGGATTTCCGCGAGCGCCCGAGCTTCCAGCTCGCGCACGCCTATCTCACCCACCTCCTTCGCAGGAGCCCAACCAAAAGGCGAAAAGCACCGCAGCCAGATCCAGCCTCCCCGGGGTCGACTGTTCAACGACAGGACGCACGCTCTGGTCAGCCCGCGCAGTGACCCCCCTCCACCGCCACGCCGAAATGGCTGGACCAACTCACAGGGGTGGTCTCGGGGGGGGGGTACAAAAACATTACCAACCGGCAAGCGAGCTCTCGTGGGGTGCTCGCCCCTCTGCGGCCTTTTACGGGACGTGAGCACGGCCCCGCCAGCCAACTCACGGGGCCCTTTGCACAGTCCTGTGAGGCCTCTCTGGTTTTGTTGGATGGCAAGGTGCCAGCAGGATTAGCACAACAGGTTCAGGCTCACTTCGGGAACCTGGGCCGAAGCAATGATGGTTGACCTTCCATGAGATGTGGTAGAGCAGCCCTCTGGCCATGATGGCCTCCATCAGGTCTCCCGCTGAAGCCCCGAGAAGGCACCAGCAGCAGGAGGAGGGGGAAGCAGGCAGACGAGGAGGAGGGGGGGAGGAGGAGGAGGAGGGGCAGGAGGAGGAGAAGGGGGGAGGAGGAGGAGGAGGAGGGGGAGGAGGAGGAGGAGGAGGAGAGGAGGAGGAGGAGGAGGAAGGAGGAGGAGGAGGAGGAGGAGGAGGAGGAGGAGGAGGAGGAGGGAGGAGGAGGAGGAGGAGGAGGAGGAGGAGGAGGAGGAGGAGGAGGCGGAGGAGGAGGAGGAGGAGGAGGAGGCGGGAGGAGGAGGAGGAGGAGGAGGAGGAGGAGGAGGAGGGGAGGAGGAGGAGGAGGAGGGAAGAAGAGGGGGGGAGGAGGAGGAGGGAAGGAGGAGGAGGAGGAGGAGGGAGGAGGAGGAGGAGGAGGGAGGAGGAGGAGATGGAGGAAAAAGAGGAGGAGGAGGAGGAAGAGGAGGCGGAGGAGGAGGAGGAGTAGGAGGAGGAGGAGGAGGGAGGAGGAGGGAGGAGTAGGATGAGGAGGAGGAGGAGGATGAGGACGATAATGAGAAGGAGGAGGCGGGCGCGAGCGCGCGGAGGGCGATACCGACCACAAGCTGTTCGTCGGGGGCCTGTCCAGAGCTCGGCCGCAATTGGTGGTGAGTTCCCCCCGAGTGGCGGGCGGCGAGAGCTCAGCGAAGGGGAGGGATGTGGGGGTGTGGGGGGGGAAAGGAAGGAGGAGGACGGCGAAAGGGAGGGAAGGAGGAGGGATGAGAGAGGGAGGTGGAGGAGAGAATGGGGGAGGGAAGGAGGAGGAGGAGGTGGAGGAGGAGGAGGGTGTGATGAGGATGCGTTGGCATGATTTGGCATGATTGGTATGCTTTTGGCATGCGTTGTATGACTATGCGTGTTTGGGTCTGAGTTTTTGCATGGCTGGCATGCTTTTTAATGTGCTTGGCATGCATGTGCATGCATTGGTCGGATTTGGCACGCTTTTGAATGTTGTTGGCGTGTCTTCGACATGCTTGGCGTGCTTTGGCATATTTGGCATGCTTGCTATGTGTTGACATACGTTTGCAAGGTTTGCATGCTTACCGCATGCTCATGTTGTGGTTGGCATGCTTTTGGCAGGTTCTGAAAGGATCAGGAGGGGGCAGAGGTGGCGTAGGAGAGAGCTCAAGAAAATCAGAAGAGACCAACAATGAGACATTAGCTGTGGGTGAAGAGGGATTTGACGAAAGCGAGGAGAAGCGGACTAGAGCCAAAGACGGTGCGAATCATTTGACCAGCTGCCTACATTAAAACCAAATAAAGGAATCAGTCAGAGGGAGGTTGGGCACATGGGCCAGGGGTCAAGACTAAAGAGGCAAACGAGTTCAAACAGGGACACTCACACCGATACACACATGCTTGTGACTTTAAAAGTATTTGGAATCGAACCCTCTGAACTCCAGAGGACCCGTCGCTCTCTCTCTCTCTCTCTCTCTCTCTTTCTCTATATATATATGTCTGTACGCACATATATATATACAATATGTGTATACGCAAACACTCCGAAGTGTTTATGACTGTGTCTATATATATATATATACATATACATATGTGTAAGCATACGCATGAATTTATGGGTGCATGCCTAGATACTTGTTTTCTATGTGTATATATATATATGCATATACATGTATACATGTATCAGAGTGAGGGGGCCGATCGGTCATTCACTGCCCCTGGGTGCGTGGCTGCGGTTGGCTTCCGCGGTGCGACTAGTTGTTGCAGTTGTTGTTGTTGTTGTTGTTGTTGTTGTTGTTGTTGTTGTTGTTGTTGTTGTTGATAGTGTTGTAAGTGTTCTTGTTGCTGCTGCTGTTGTTGTTATGGCTGTTGTTGCGTGTGCTTTTGTTGCGTCTGTTGAGCTGTCACTAGTAAAGAATGATGATTGTTGATCCCCGTTGCGCGGTAAGCATTGCATTTTGTATTGAAGTGTCTCTCCCGGGGCTCGCGCCCGGTTTTTACATGGGAAGGTGGGGTGTCACCAACCTGTGCCCCTGGCCCCCGGCGGCTCCCGCTTGATATTTTCTCACAATGTATTTCCAAATCGCTCTCTCGCGCGGGACTTCTTCACGACTTGCTATTGTCGTTGTTGTTGCTGCTGCTGCTGCTGTTGCTGTTGCTGTTGCTGTTGTTGTTGTTGTTGTTGTCGAACTCTCACGATTGAAAAACCATTATTGTTACCCCCCCCTCCGGTGACCATTGTGTTTTCCCATTGAAGTGCTTCCCCCCGGGGCTCGCACCCTGTTTTTTTATCAGGGAAAGTCTCGGGGATCAAACTGGGCCCTTGGCCCCCGGTTTGCAACAACAGCGGCACCCGCCTGATATTTCCTCACAATGTATTCCCACATCGCGCTCTCGCGCGGGACTTCCTCACAGTTCATGTACGCATCGCGCTCTCGCGTGGGACTTCCTCGCAATGTGTTCAGACGCTGCGCCCTCGGCGCTCAGGAACCACGCTCTCGCTTTGGATTTCCCGCGATTTACTTGGGAATCGCGCTATCGCTCGAGACTTCTTCGCGATTCATGCAGGACCCACGCTTCAGCACCCCCCCTGCTCGACCTCGTCGCCCGGGCCCGCCTTCCCGACCCGCTCGCCATGGGTCTGCCCACCGATCTGCCCGGCTGCTTCTACCACTAGTTTTCTGCTCCTGGGCCCCCTCCTGCCAATATCTCTCGTGCTCCGTTTTTCTCCTTCCCCTCCCTCCCCCTCCCCCTCCCCCCCTCCTCCCCCCCCCCCTCTCCCCCCTCCCCCTCCTCCCCTCCTCTTCCTCCTCCTCCTCCTCCTCCTCCTCCTCCTCCTCCCCCTCCTCCCCCTCCTCCCCCTTTGTTCAAGAGGGTCGGCCTTCACCGCGGGAGTTGGGCCCCCGCCCCAGGACTGCCGCCAAGGGAATGGCGCCGCCGCACCACCGAGCGGAACAGCGCAAACATCCAGCGGTTCTGCAAGAGCTGCGTCGGGGCCCGTGGCTCGCCATGGTTCAACGCCCCCGACGCGATGTCGTGCACCAAGTGCAAGCTAGGGAAGGGCCTCTGCTTCAAGGAGCACCGCTTGCCTTCGGCTCCGTCCTCCTCAGCACGCGCACCAGGTCGCACGCTGGCGGCATGGACGAGTCCGGTCGCGGTGCTGAAGCTCAAGGCGGAGGTGGCCGCGGCCTATGCCAAGATCCAGCAGGCCACTGGTCAGGCAGCCCCTCAGCCTGAGGAGCCAGCCATCACTGGTGACGAGTACTCCAAGTAAAAGGCCACGCGAGCTTGCGGACCTCATCAAAACGGCAGGCTCCAACACCGACCCGCACATGGTCGCTGCCAAGGAAGCCTACTTCAAAGAGCAGTCTGAGATCAAGAACAAGCTGGCTGCGGCCAGGCCGTTGGGACAGCGGCTCCGCGACTGGGGAGCGCAGATCACACGCCAAGAAAAGTTACGCCAAGACCAGGGGCGGAAGCGGGGCAACCTCCGCGAGCGGAAGGCGCAGCTTCAAGAGCAGGACGATGCCGCCACCAAGCAGTTTGCGGCATTTTGTGAGCAGATAGAGGAGTTACAAAAACTGCAGCGCGAGCTCCAGCGTGAAGTACCAGTTCCTCCGCAGAGCTCCACTGGGCAGCCTGCCGCCGACGAGCCAATCAAGGGCCGCTCGGTCACGCTCGACGGCCTGGGCGAAGCGCTCACGGCGCTCAGGGCTAACCGCGGGCAGGCGGGGCGGCTCAAGGCGGACTTCGAGTATTTGCGCAAGCTAGAGGCTGAAGCCCGCGCCAAGCAACCAACTGAGCGTGCTGAGCGCGAAGCCGCAGAGCGAGCAAGTCACGTGCAAGCAGAGGCGCAGGCTCCAGACGAAGAAATGGAGGTGGACGCCAAGGACGAGCAGAGTCTGCTCGAGGAGGTGGCCAAGGCGGGAGGAGACAAGCGTGAGATCGCTGAAATCTTCGAGGCGCACGGGGCCAAGGTCAAGCGGACCAAGTCTGAGCCCTCCGTGCCGCAGGAGGTCCCGCCAGCAGCTGCACCGCCTCAATCGCGGCGGCTCGTCCTTCCAGCGGATGTTCTTGTCTCCTCTGACTTTCTTTGAGTGACGAATTCGATGGCTATCGCTACTTTGAATGTTTCTTCAGGCGGCCCTCTCATCGACTACCTGAAGTCCTGCCGCAGCATGCGCATCGCTGCGCAGGGACATCGCGCCCGTGTCGAGGGCGGCGGCCTGGCCAAGGCACAGCAAGACGCCTTGGCCGAGGGCCTGCATGGTGTTTGGGAGCCCGCTCTGCCTGAGCCGGGCGCTGGGGCACAGGCAGGAGTGGCCCTCTTGGCGACCGAACGAGCTTTGGTCACTGCCCCGCCAGGCCTTGACGGGCCCACGCTGGGGCCTGGCAGGATGGCAGCCGCGCGCGTCACTTGCGGCGGCCGAAAGTGCTTCGCCATGGTCTCGGTCTACCTTCGCGTCGACGAGCAGCTGTCGCCCGAGAGCCTGGCCATGCTTTTCAAGCTATACAAGTACCTCGAGGCGCTGGAGGCGACGCAGTTGCCGTGGATCGTGGGCGGCGGCTTCGATATGGAGGTGTCCCAGCTGGGGTCTTTCGCTTAGTTGCACTCCGTCAACGACGTGGCCATTGTTCCGTCGGCCCTCACTCGTTTGCCATCTCTTCCTGACAGCACGATAGATTTGTGTTCCGCCTCCTGCCCGCTGGTCCCACGACTCAGCCCCGCGGCGGTCGGCGAGGCTGACGCTTGGCCACGCCTGCCCGTGACCATCACGATGCGGGCGAAGCCCCGGAACACGTGGATCAGGGGGCTGGCGCAGCCGAAAGGGTTCAGCAAGACCCCCAAGGCAGGGCGCGCGCGGCCGCCACCCGACTGGGAGCCGCTCCGCCACCAGGCTCAGGATGCCACCGCGGCACTGGATATGCTGCATGTGTGGGGCCAGTTGCTGCTTGGCATCAAGTTTGAGTTGCAGGGGGCGGCTGATACAGTTGGACCGTATGCCGACAGTTTTACCAGGAAGATAGGCCCCCCGAGCGGCTCGGGCAACGGCTGCGCGGTCGGCTCGCCACTTTCGCAGAGTACGCACGGCCCTGCAGGCGCTTGTGTTCAAGTTAGCCTGCTTTTCCTGTGCGAGCTCCTCGGCGCCGCCTGCACCCTGGCCCGCCCTCCGGCCGCCTGAGGCCCCGCCCGCCTGTGCTCTGTCTCCCCAATCAGAGCTGTGCGTGGCCCGCCTAGCTTTTAACCGGAAGAGGTTCGCTCTCGCCCCGCAGACCAAAAAAAGTTCAAGGTAGCCAGCCCCACGTTCGTTCTCTCGTCGGTCAACCATCGCGGGGGGGAGGTGCGTGAAAGCTCCCCACAGAGCGACGGCAGGTTTCGCGAAGCTGGCCCCTCCTCCAGCAGTTTTCAGAGGAGGACGGCTGGCTGGTCTTCAGGCACGTGCAGTGGTTCGGCCTCTGGGTCGACAGGCGGCGGCGCATCTCTGGGGGATGCGCTCTCGGCGATTAGAACGCAAGCCCCAGCCCCCAGTTGCACCCATGAGGTAAACAGCGCGAGGGGCTGGGCTCAGTCGTCAAGTTGTTTGCTGGAGCCCGCCCCCAGATGCACCCAATGGGTAAGCCGCG